TGGGAGGAATAGATGAACTCTAGATAGGGCAGAGAGGTTGTGGGGGAAGGGAGGGGGCATGGGGTTAGAAATGATGGTAGAATGTGATAGTCATTATTATCCAAAGTACATTTATGAAAACACAAATTGGTGTGAATATACTATGTATACAACCAGAGATATGAAAAATTGTGCTCTATATGTGTAATAAGAATTGTAATACATTCTGCTGTCATATATAAAAAATAAAATAAAATAAAATAATACTATATAAGGGACATTCTTATATAAAGTATTTCCCTCTTTGCATTTAGTATTGTTCTGGAGCATTCTGGTGTGTGGGGGGGCGGTTTCCCTTGAACTCTCCCCAAGCAGCAGCACCTCTTCTTTACTTGTCCTGTGAGCAGTGTCCCAGTTACCCACTATGGGATCACACAGTGCCATCTTGTGTGCAAAATGGAGTTAATAACACCCACTATGGGGTGATAGGGTAAGTTAGAGTATTAAACGGGAAAGTGTATATGGTGTGTATATAATTTAGTATAATTCCTAGCATGCGGTAGCTGCATTTGTCATATATCCTGATCATCTTCAATTTATAGCAGTGCTGATATATAATGTTTATATTAAATGAAAAAAATTATGCCCATGGCATGCCAGATACATTATACAAATGATGCTTAGAGGAAGTAAGGACTGTTTTTCTAACACTTTACTTTTTGGTACTGGGGATTGAATCCAAGGTGCTTTGCCATTGAGCTACATCCCCAGTCTGAATTTTATTTTGAGACAAGGCTTTGCAAAGTTACTTAGGGACTTGCTAAGTTGCTAAGGCTGGCCTCCAACTTGCGATCCTCCTGCTTCAGCCTCTTGAGTTACTGGGATTACAGATGTGCACCACCACACTTGGCTCACTTTCAACACTTTTGAACATATTCTGCTAACTAGAGTACACAGGTTAATATTTTGTCAGTGTCATTTTTTTTTTGTACTGGGAATTGAACCCAGAGGTGCTTTACCATAGTGTCACAGCCCCAGTCCTTTTTATTTTATTTTTTGAGAAAAGTCCTCACTAATTTGCTGAGGTTCTCAGTAAATTACTGAGGCTGATCATGAATTTGTGATCCTCTTGTCTCAGCTTCCTGAGTTGCTGGGATTACAGGAATGTACCACCATGCCCAGTCAATTTTTTGTCTTTACAATTTTTTCTTTGTCATAATTTCTGCAATAAAAGTGCATTGTCTCAGAGCTGGGGACCTGGATTCCATCTCCAGTACAGGTGGAAAAAACTGTGTTGGCTCCAGTTACACTATATTTATAAAAAGTATTTCTTAAACCAGACCTATCTCATGAGAACTGGTACTGTGGACATTTGTTTTTGGTATTGGTCCATCTTGATATGTTGGCACCAGTTAAGAATGTAGACCATTTGGGCTCATTGGTGTTTACATGGGGTCAGGTCTTCCCTCAAAATAACTGTCTTTGTCCAT